TGGGTGTAAGTCACTGTTTCTCTGGACTAGGAGCTAGGGCAGGTATCTGTCAGCCGAGAGGAAATGGATGGGCACTAATAAGAGAAGACGCTTCTTCCAGTGCCATTGTAAGAGAAGGCATTGCAAATTTAACAAGAGTTTTCTTTCACTGGGAGCAGGACTTTTTGTTTGTTTTGTCTTGGTTTTGGGTTTTTTGTTTGTGTTTTTTGGCCATAGGGACAAGTATTCTAGAACATCCATCAGATTGCCTGTTTGTGGATACCATTGTCACGTCAAGATATATTACATGTGGAGAAATTCTCATTTTTTTTACACTGTTCCCTCTGAGTATTAAACTCTCTGTCATTGCTACAATTAATCACTGTTTCAGCCCAAAGGAGTGGTTTCTCACAGATCAGAATTCCATCTTAGAGTGATTGGCTCAACAATTTTTGTTAATTCTATATAGTTGGTTGAAATCTTTTGTGTAGTGGAAGAGCTGAGATGTTGTCTAAGCTAAATTTTATTACTTAAAAAATTGAACAAATTCTATAAGATCAGATCCTGAGCAAATGGTCTTTTGTAAGATCTGTAAATATCGCATATGGAAACTCAACAAATCATGGTGGACATTGAATTAGGCTCTGCCCCAACTCATTTTGTGACTATGGATGTATCACTTCCCATCTCTGGAACTCAGTTTCCTCACCTGTAAAGTGAGAGCATTGGACTAAATCAGTGGTCTTCAAACTGTTTGTTCTCAGGACCCTTTCACACTCTTAAAAGTTATTGAGGACTCCAAACAACCTTTGTTTATGTGAGTTATACCTATTGATGTTATCTCCATCCACTCTGACATCTGTAGTGGCCTTTGTGTCACCTGTCTTTATCCATCTGCCCCTAGGGTACTTTGCCCTGCTGAGCTGATCTTGACTTCTTGCTCTTATGTATTTCTTTGTGACAGACTGTTCTAGTACTGACCCCTGGTCCTCATCTGAATTCATTATCTTCGGTCCTAGGAACTGACTTATCCCCCAGGCTCTACTCTGGCATCTCCAGTCTCAGCTGTTAGTCTGATACCTTGAGTTGTCTGCTGCCTGTAGTGGAGTTTGACACGTCCATCAGCCAAACCAAGAAGCAACCATATCTGCAGAATTGTGGTTGCAATCACTCTTCCGTGATTCCTGACTTCACACATAACAGAGAACATTTTAAAAAGGCAGATAAGAAAGAGCCTCCACTTATAGATCAGAGCTCCTGATCACTGCTACTTTCTGTCCTTGACCTGCTAGATCTTTAGAATCTGAACCCCTCCTGTCTAGACCCTTGAGATAATTCCTGCCTTAGCTAACTCATTATACTTGACCAACAGGATGTACCTGGTATGTTTTCTTACAGTGTTTGCCAAACTTTATCTGTCTCACTGATAGTAGTACATCCTTCTCTCTTATTTTTTATGTATCAGAGAAATGAGACCCAGAGGGACCTTGCCCAGGGTAATGCAAATAGAAATCCAGTACTCTTTCCTCTATACCAACCTGGACCTCCAAATTTGCTTTGTCTCCTGTTTCTGATGCTCTTATTTTTAACTCTTGTTTCATCTTCACTCCTGGATGCCATTGTTACCTGAGTTGTCACCCATTAGACATACCCTTTTGCTTTTTGGATTCTGTGTTGGCTAATCTGGTGCTGACATTTTACTATGTCACAGGTCCAGGGATCAGAATTTAAGAGTGAGTTTGATTCTGGGGCAAGGATGATTTACCATTTAGGCTCATTTTATATTTTTTGGTGGTTGTGGTAGCCAGCAAATAGATTCAAGGAGGGCTAGTAGATCTGGAATATCTTTCCAAGATTAAAAAAAAAAAAGGAAGAGATGCTGCTAAGTCTTTATCCCTGGATGCCATGATCATGTGTGATCAGCCTCCCTCAGTTCTATAATAAATTTCCACTACTTCTTGGCCTATCTTTTCCCAGAATGGAATTTGCTTGGCTTGAGTACCATCAATGCTAAAGATACTTTTGTATTTCTTATTTTTTTATAGCTTGCTTGCCAGTTCCTTCAGAAAATATCTGAGAAACTTGGAGACAGATTTCTTATTTATAAATATAATTGGGAAAAAATAAATGTAATAAAATATTAAGCAGAAAACAAAACTGATTTGATGCATTATATATGCATATGCATACTTTGGAAAATATAAAACGTTGCATGAAGGTATTGTAAAGAACACTGAGTCTGGTGTTAGAAGACCTGAGCTCTAGCTACCTGATTTAACTACTTACTAGTTATATGATTGTGGGAAAGTCATACAATTTCTCTAGGCCCCTCATATTCCACATCTGTAAAATAAGGGTCTAGCATTCAGACTATCCTCCCTGTCCAGAGGCCCCCACAAATATATACATATATGTGTGTGTGTGTGTGTGTGTGTGTGTGTGTATGTATATATAGATATCAACCATGAAATATTGGAGAAATAGCTATAGTTAACTAATAATTATAACATATTTTGATAACAATATATAATATATAACTTGACAAAGCACTTTATAAACCTATTACCTAGAATCCTAGCAATAGAAGGGACCTTAGAGAAAATAGCTAATTTAAATCCTTCAACATTCTCTTTTGATCCTCACAACAATTCTGAGAGTTAGAGTTCGCATTTTATAGATGTGGAAAATGAGATTCAGAAGGCTTAGGTAACTTGCTCAAGGTGATGTAATTAGTATGAAGTAGAGCTGAAATTCAAACCCAAATCTTCTGACTACAGAGCTAGTAATCTTTCTCCTACATTATAGCTACCTCATGAGGATATAATTTCTCTCATCTTGAACTTCTGTAATACTATTTGTGTGTGTCTTATTTTTTTCTTAGTTACATGTAAAAATGTTTGACATTCATTTTTAAAACTTTTGAGTTCCAATTTCTCTTTTTCCCTCCATCCTCTCCCTCCTCTTTGAGAAGGCAAACAATTTGATATAGATTTTACATGTGAGGTTATGCGGAATGTATTTCCATAATAGCTATGTTGCAAAAGAAGACACAGACCAGGAAAAAAAAACCACAAGAAAAATAAAGTTAAAAAAAAAGTATGCTTTAACCTGCATTCAGACTCCCTCTCTTTCTCTGGAGGTAGAGAAAATTTTTCATCATAAATTCTTTGGAATTGTTTTGGATCATTGTATTGCTCAGAATAGTGAAGTCATTCACAGTAGATCGTTGTACAATGTTGCTTTTACTATGTAAAGTGTTCTCCTGGTTCTGCTTACTTCACTCTGCATCAGTTCATATAAGTCTTCCCAGACTTTTCTGAAAGCATCCTGGTCATAATTTTTTATGGCGGAATAGTATTCCATCACAGTTTCTGCCAAACTGTTTTCCAGTTTTCCCAGCAGTTTTTGTCAGATAGTGAGTTCTTGTCCTCAAAGCTCAGATCTTTGGGTTTATTAAACCTTAGATTACAATGGTCATGTACTACTGTGTATTGTGGGCCTAATCTATTCCACTGATCTGCCACTCTATTTCTTAGTACCAGATTGTTTTGATGATTACTGTTTTGTAATTCAGTTTGAGATCAAGCCACTTTCCTTCACATTTTTTCCCCATTAATTCCCTTGATATTCTTGACCTTTTGTTCTTCCAGATGAATTTTATTATTTTTCTAACTCTATAAAATAATTGTTGGTAGTTTGATTGATGTGGTATTAATAAGTAAATAATTTAGGTAGAATTGTCATTTTTGTTATATTGGCTTTGCCTACCCATGAGGAATTAATATTTCTCCAGTTGTTTAGATCTGACTTTAATTGTATGGAAAGTGTTTTGTAACTGGGTTCATACAGTTCCTGGGTTTGTCCAGGCAGGTAGACTGCCAAGTACTTTATATTATCTGCAGTTATTTTAAATGGAATTTCTCTTTCTATCTCTTTGTGCCTGACTTTGTTGATAATATATAAGAATGCTAATGATTTATGTGGGTTTATTCTATGTCCTGCAGCTTTGCAGTTGTTACTTATTTCAATCAGTTTTTTAGTTAATTCTCTAGAATGCTCTAAGAATATTATCATATCATCTCCCAAGATAGTTTTGTTTCCTCATTGCCTATTCTAATTACTTCAATTCCTGTAATACTTTTTACTTCACTTGTGGCACATAAACCTTGACTGTAATTGTTTATATACTGGCCTTGTTACTCCTCCCCTAAATAGAAAAAAAAAATTGAAACAGAGAATGGATTGCTAATTTTCCTTCCCCAAGCCCCAAGTATCTAGTGCAGTTAGGTTTTTAATAAATATTTGTTGAATTGAAGTTGTCTAGAGTGAGTGACAAGATAGAAAATTTATGTGATAGTCATTAAAACAGACTAAGTAATCTGTGTACACAATCTTATAATTCTTTACATGATCCTTAACTCTCATTTCCCTTACTTTTCATGCTGTTTAGCAATATTTACTGTTAAGTCTTCCACTTATTAAGAATGATATGGGTTGACATTTTCTTGAAGATTCTGCCTTTTCTCCATCCCTGGAGATTGGCTACACCCTTGGTGAATGTGAATCCCCTGGTGGACAATTGATGATTCCAGGACAGCTGGCTGTAAGGGGCAGTTCAATCAGTATGCATCACCACTAGGGCACTACAGTCATTAAAATTCATTATAAATGACTCACAGTCCCAGGAATCTCATTTAGTTCTCATTCAGCAGCTGGAAGATGCTGCCAGCTGTGAATGTAGGTTTTCCCCAAAGATTTTACCTAAGAGTGGAGGGCAAATAAGTCAAATTTTTAAATGATGAGTAGGGGTGGGGATGGTATAGAATATTTTAAACTAAAATATATACATACACAGCTGTACACAGTATGTACATACATATATGTATACAGTCCCACATATATACACATATGCATGTGTATATAAACATGAATATGTATAACAATGCACACACACACACACACACATATATATATACACATTATATAGACATTTTATACGCATATGTATGTTTGTATGTGTGTAAAAATTTATTGCCATTAGAGTCACCATTTGGGCACTTGGTTAAGGGGAAGGTGAGACTGTCCCTGGGAAACTGGCTAGTCTGAGTGATGGAGAAGAAAAGGAAAGAGGAAAGGCAGAAGAGTGGGTAATTAAGAGGGAGGAATGTAAGACTAGAAGGAGAGAGAAAAGATGACACATGTGGTGAGTGATGTTAGAGTGCCACCAGCTAGTATGGTGTCTTTCATTGCCATCAGTTGCACATCTTGTCCACCCATGAATTGGAATGAACCATAATTAACCTGCAGAATTAGAATTAAACCATAAAATTAAATTTAATCAAGTATATGCCTAGCTATGTGCAGGTAAAGGGTAAGCAAGATTTTGATGCAAACCTCCCTGAAGAGAGAGCCTGGCTATCTGAGTATGGACCCCTTTGCCAGCAGTACATTTTCCAACAGATGTTCCATCAAGAAGCTCACCAAGAGTTTAGTAATCCCTAGTCCACATCCTGCTCCCTGCAGCGACCTTGGGCAACCCCACAGCATCAACCCTAGAAATCACGGAAGCTCCTGCGGACTCTTTTGGTGCTATCCCTAATCGTAGCTTTAGGTTGGGGGGATCCAGACTGCAGGTAGAAGTAAACCACTTGACCTACCTGATCATCATCCTCCAGTCCAGCTAAATACGTAATGATCATTGTTCTAAGCCAGGGGTGGGGAACCTGTGGCCTCCAGGCCACACGTAGCCCTCTAGGTCCTCAAGTGCACCCCTTTGACTGAATCCAAACTTCACAGAACAAATCCAACGTAGGCCCTTAAGCTGTGGAGTTTCAAGCTGTTGCCAGTGCAAAGTCAGCATCCCACCAATAACATTTGCTTTGTGACCTGGGATGAAGAAGAAATAATTTCCATTAATGTTTTCTATTCATTTAAAAACCAGGTCAAGATAAAAGGTTTTTTGTAAAATGTATTTAATTTTGAAGTTCATATTACTGTGGTGAGTCACATAGTATTGTATATAATACTTAATTATCCTTTGTCTTCCTGAGTCTCTCCTCTTTGAGAGATTTGACATTCCAGGTTGGTCCTTGATAAAATTGTAAAGGAAATGAAATTTGTCTTTAGTGTCCCCAGACTCCCTTTTCAGTGTCCTTTCCCCCTCTGTTCTCCTTCTTCCTTTTCAGTCACACACTTTCATTCTAACAAAACCTGTTTTGGGGAAATAATTTGACATATCGCTCAACTAATGAACTTGTCAGCATGTTATCTTTCCCAGGTACTATAAACTAGTAGTCTAAGTCATATTTTTATTTTTATTTTTTATTTTTATTTTGCCCAGGGTCACACAGCTAGTAAGTGTCAGGTGTTTGGTCTGAGGTCACATTTGAACTCAGGTCATCCTGCCTTCAGGGCCAGTGCTGTATCCACTGCGCCATCTAGCTGCTCCCTAAGTCATATTTTTAATTTGAATTAAAGGCATTTTACCTTCTTCAAGGGATTTGGGTAGTAGGGGAGAGCTTTGAACTTAGGGGTCACTTTTTTCTGGAAAAAAGCACTGATTTAATAGAAAGCTGGTCATGCTTTGCTTTTTTTAAAAAAAATCTTTACTAAAAATATTGTTTAAAATACTAGCAATGAGATCAGTACATAATAGGAATTTTTTTCCCCCTTTAATTTGGGCAAGAGCAATAGTGTTCAGATTTTTGTTTTATGTTTGTGCTAGGACCAAGTTTTGGTCATTAGTCCTGTAACTTAATTTTTGCTAGTGATGTTATTGGCAACCTCTTCATGGAATCTAAGGGATTTTAATAGTTGTTGGTTCACTACCGGAGTGAAGCATTACGTGGTAAGTCTTGACTGTTTCACATTTCCGTTTTGGTTATGTATTTTATCTCTGCTTGATTCTGAATAAGTTAGCTCCTCTTTGATAACAAAAGATTTTTTTTCTTTAATGTGACATTATCAAAAGGAGTAAACAATTTCTGGTTGTCCTATTAAAAAACTCTAGTGAATACCAGCCACTTGAGTGTATAGCACCACTGATAGGTTTTTATGTCTTTAGGATTTTCACAGTGCTTTGTATATTATCTCATTTGCTCCTTAAAACAATCTTATGACGGGGTGACTTCATTGTTTGAATTTTAGAGGTAAGTTGAAGCTCAGAAAGGTGAAGCAATTTGCCCATGTTCCCATTGCTAATAATTATCAGAGTCTAGAAGCAAGGAAGTACTGTGTCCCATTGAACTCTGGACAGGTCAAATCCCATTTGTGGTATTATATTCAGCTCTAGGGCACAATATTTTAGTAGGAATATTGGTAAACGGGAATGTATCACTCTCCTTGAGTGATGAGGATGGCATAGGAATATGAAACCATGTCATTTGAGAAACAGTTAAAGGAATAGGGCATGTTTATCTGAAAAAAGAGATAACAAGGTAAACAGGATGACTCTGAATTTTTGAAAATTGGTTATGTGGAAGAGGAATTAACTTATTTTCTGTAGCTTTAAAGGCCAGAGCTCAGAGCAAAGGAAGGAAGTTCCAAGGAAATATATTTCCACACAGTATAAGGAAGACATTTCTAATAATTAAAACTGTCTAAAAATGGAATTTCAGGCAGCTCAGTGGCATGGGGGATGGAGTGTCAGGTTTGGAGTCAGGAAGATTCCTCTTCCTGAGTTCAAATCCTGCCTCAGATGCTTACTAGCTGTGTGACCCTGAGCAAGTCACTTAACCCTGTTCGCCTTAGTTTTCTCATTTGTAAAATGAGCTGGAGAAGGAAATGGTAAACCACTCCAGTATCTTTGCCAAGAAAACGCCAAACAACTGAACAACAGCAGTGGAATTTGCTATCTTCTGAGGTAATGGATTCCTACTCACTGAAAATGTTCAAGTCATGGTTAGATGATCACCTTTAAGTGATATCAGTTAGTAAGAAGCATTCAGCGTTAGGCTGGAGTTTAATCTAGATCAGAGCTCTAAGGTTCCTTCCAATTTTATGATGCTGTGATTCTACCCTCCGATTTTAGATAAGTTTAATTAAAACTTAGTATCTAATGAAGTCTATGATCCATGTGCAGCTGAGGCCCTTCCATTAGATACAATTCAAAGACATAGATACTTTGTTCCTGGGTTATTTGCACTGGTGCTTTTTCATTAGCATGGATTCTTAAGAGTTAAGACTCCTAATTAAGATCATAAAATGTTCTTTCCTTTTGATATTATTTTCCTCTTGCTGGAATTTACATTTTGGTTATTCTGTAGCTTCTTATATAGTATATGATATGCCTGTAAAATCACCCAACTCTCATTGTCTTTTGCAGTAACCACTACCATTAGGAAAGGACTTTTTCCTTATATAGCAGGAGGTGAAATTCTCTCTGCTGTGCTGTATTTCCTTTGCTGAAGTGTGCTTTCTGGCTGGGCTTATATTGCCTGGGCAAAGGGTTTCCCTCTTAACTGGCATCTCATTGAGAAAAGAAAAGGCTTCTTTGTTTGTGATAATGGTGGAGGAAAAAGGGCTGCAAGATGAAGGAAGGGAGGATGTTTAGTTCTGGATACTACATTTTAGGAAAGGCATTGGTGGATTAGGAGGAGAGTAGCCCGAAGAGGTCAGTGAAGTGCCTTATGCTAGAATCTAGATAAAGATTGGTTGAAGGAAATGGGGATGTTTAGTTTATAAGAATTGGGGAGGGGCAGAGGATATGATACCCATGATCAAATACTGTCTTGTGACTGTCATGTGGAAGAGTGATTAGATTTGTTCCCTTTGGTCTCAGAAAGCAGAACCAGGAGCAGTGGGTAGGAGTTACAAAGAGGCACATTTAGGCTTGATAGTAGGAAAAACTTCCTAACAATGAAAGCCAAGGATGGACTGGAGTGCTTCAGGAGCTCAAAGATTTCTGTTCTTGTAGGTCCTTCAATTAAGTTTGGATGACCGCTTATGGGGCTTATTGTAGATGGCATTCTTTCTCAGGTCTCTGTTGGACTAGATGCCACTGAAGTCCCTTGCAACGCTGAGATTCTATTGTTCTGTGAACGTTTTTCCAGCATTCTGAATTGAAACCTGGGACAGATCTCACAGATACAATGATATTTAGACTTGCCCAAAACAGTCATTTTCCTGGTGCATTGTAGGTTAAACAGGCTATTGTGGATTGGCTAGGGAGCCCAACTGTCACATGTAACATTGCATCTGTGGGAAAACTTGACATTACCAAGTTCTAAGCAATTGACTTTTATATCCCAGTCTTGTAAATTGGAGATCCCCTGTTTTGTGTTTAGAAAAGAAGCCTGGGGAAGGAGGTTAAGATGGCAGATATTTTTAGTTTTTGAAGATGACTTTGTGGAAAAGGGGTCCCTGTCCTGCCTGGCCACAGAGGGCAGAACTAGAATCAGCGGATGAAAATTTCAGAGACCCATTTTGACTCAGTGTAAGGGAAAACTACCTAAAAATTAGAGCTATCCAAAAGAAGAATGGACTGCTTTGGGAGATGGTAGGTTCTTCCTCACTAGAGGTTTTCCATCAAAAACTCTATGAGCACTTGTGGATGTTATCGAGGGAATTTTCAGTCACGTATAAAGTTGGACTAACGTAGTCTCTAAAGTCTATTCCAAAGCTCTGATTCCAGGATTCTGTCACTCGCTCATGGTCACATGACTAATACCAAACTCAGATCTCTGAACACCTCCAGATTGCTTTCTTCTGCCTTGAAATAAAACTTTGTTGTTTCCAAGAGAATGTGATTATGTTTTCAAAGTTGTGGGTCATCTGAGTCCTTCCTTTTCACTTTTTGCAGTGATTGAGAACTGAGGTTATGTGGTTTTATAATTCCACATTCCTTGATTCTTTTATTTCCCTCACTAGATTATGAATTACTAGAAAAAGAATAAAGTCATAATGCCCTTTCTTGCTTGGGGATTGGGCGGGGGGGGGGGGGGTTGATGGAGAAGGCCTAGCCTTAAACCCTGGTGATCCTGCTTTGTAGTGCCAACAGGGGACATTGAGGGAAAATAGGTGGATGTTTGCCTGGAACAGATTGCAAGGGGAGGTCTGGGCCTGTCAGGCTTAGCTGAGCATTAGACCTGATCATTTATCACTGTCAGACGGAAGTGGGGGGAAGATGCACTGGACCATTCCTGCTCATCTGCTGACTGACGCTGAATGCAACCTCTAGGCAGATAATCTGCCATCGTGGGGGCATGTGCAGGCGTGAGATATTATATCACAGACTGCAGTGCTGCTCCCTGCTTGGAGCTCCTGACATCTTCACAAGGAGAGAAGAAATGAGGACCTCTCATGCTGTGCTCCTTTACCAAAATCACAGGCTGCCTCATTTCCATGGTTTTGTGTAGATCCGTTTGTTAAAACGGATTTAATGGTGTATTAGAGACATACATTCAGGCTCCGGAATAATAATCCGATCCTGATGATAGGATGAGAAAACACCACTCTGTGTTTCATGCCTTAATTTAATTCCCAGGACTTGGATACGCTGCGAAGCACTGATTATTTTAATACCACAGAGCTGACATTGATGAATGCAAGGAGGAAAGCCAATAACTTTGCGCACATCTATTTGAAAGTGACAAAAAAAAATACAAGTTAAAAAAAGTTAGCTTGTGAAAAGGGGAATAAAAAAGCAGTAAAAGAAAGTATAGAATTTCAAAATAAAAAAGTCTGCTTAACATTAATTTGTAGGGATCCGAAATGTATTTTAAAATCAATAGAGGAATCATATCCTATGAAAACCACAACTTTACAGCTATATGAAAGGTCTTTATTACTGTATCTTTTTGACTAAAATGAAGATTTTAATGCTCGGATAAATCTTGTTTTAAATTAGTTGTTCAATTAGTTTGCAATATTTGATTTTGATACTCATTACAAATTACAAATCACAAGTAGCCAGGGGAGCACTTCATAAAAATCAGATGGAAATTTTTCAATAAATTAATATCATAATTTTAATAGATTTGGAATTAGATAGTGTTGTTAAGGATTGTAATTATAGAAAGAGTATACAAATTAAAATCAGGTCCTTAGAACAATGAGAAGAGAGGTAATGGCTTGCTGTTATTTCATTAATGATGGGTGATTCTGGGATGCATGCTAATAGAGAAAGAGAGGATATTAGTGCTGGACAGGGGTAATAGAATAGAGTACAAAATTCTTATTGTACAGATAAGATGACTAAGGATCATATTGTAAGTTTTGGCCATTTTAAGGACTCAGACCCCTTCTCTTTGCTTCTAGACTAGAAATCTTTCCACTGCAGAGGGATGAGGGGGAAGGCACTGTGTTAAGCACTCAACAAATATTATCTCATTTGATAATATTTAATAATACCTCACAACAACCCTGCAAAGTAGGTGCTATTATTATCTCCATTTTGCAGTTGAGCAAACTGAGGTCAAGTAACTTTCCCTGGGTTACACAGCTAGTAAGTATCTAAGGTCATATTTGAACTTGGGTCTTTCTGACTCAAGACCTAACTGCCTGAACAGCAGATTGCTTCTAAACCTTCCGCCCCTGATTTCACCAGATAATCACTTACCACTGCTCGCGTATAGAGAGCCACTTTCAAAGCCAGGAAAACGGGGTTCGAGACACATCTCTCAGACGTACTACTTGTGTGACCCTTGCCAGGTCACTTAATAAATCAGTATTCTGGGCAATTGTCTGAGACTTTAAGTTGCAGAGGAGGTGCTGAATGACCTTGGTAGAGGTAGTTTTCTCACTCAGGAGTTTCTTAATTCTGAGAAAATTGCAGTTCTTCCTTATTCTGGTCCCTCCTATGCCTGGTCCTTATCCCTGTTTTTCAAATACGCCTTAAAATAGTACACCATATTAAACCAGTTAAGTGTATCATTTAAAATAGTAGTTAGTATTAAAAGTATACGACTAAAGAAAGATTTAAAAAAATATAAACTCATAAGTACAATTTGGCATTTCTCTGGCTCATTTTTAACTTTTCTCAATCACTGATTAATGTAAGCCAAGTTTGAGTTGAAAATCTGTTTTAAATGCCCCCAAACCTTTATACTTTAAGTCAAAGGTCTTTCTGAGTATTATTCATTACTCTAGTGCTTCCAGGATTCAGACCAGTTTGGGCTCAACAACCTTTGTCTTTGTTTTTGACATTTAAACTGCTGAGTATCTAGCTTTGTCCTCTTCTGCTCTCCCTCTATACAGTTTTGTTTGGTGATCTCATTAGCTCCCAAGGATTCACTCATTTTTAAAAGGAATTGTTTTTAGTCAATAAAAATTCACCTTCTCTCCCTCTCACCTTCACCCCTTCCCACTGAGAAAGAAAGAAAAATAAACACCTGTTAACGCAGACGTGTATAGTCAAACAAAACAAATTTCACCACCAGCAACGTCCATGGATTCAGTTACCTTCTTGATAAAGATGATTCTCAAATCTATTTATCCAGCTCTCCTCTTTCTTCTGATTTCCAGTCTCACATCTCCAAATGCCTATTGGACATCTCTCAAACTGGTTGTCCCACAGCTATCTTAAACTCAGCCTGTTAAAAACAGAACTCATTAGCTTTCCCCCAAACCTTCCCCTCTTTATAACTCCCTTGTTACCAGCCTGCCATTCACCTAGGCTAACAACCATCCTCAACTTACTCTCTTCCCTCCTCCATATCTCCCGCCTCTCCCCTCACACATATCCAGTCTGTTGCCCAAGCCTGTTGATTCTACCTTTGGCATTATCTCTCATGTATGCCCCCTTCTCTCCCCTGACACTGTAACCAAGTACCTTTGCCACTTGGTTCAGGCCCTTATCAACTCACACCTGAATTATGAGAATAGCCTGTCTCATCACTCCCTATTTCAGTCTGTCCTCCACTCAACTATCAAAGTAATCTTCCTACCTACAGTTCAGGTCTGACAATGTTACCCCTCTTAAATAAACTCTAGCGAATCCCTGTGACCTCCATCATCAAATATAACATCCTCTGTTTGGTTTTAAAGCTCTTTATAACCTCCCCCCTCCCACTACTTTTCCAATCTTTCTTTTGTTTTTTAATAACTCTCCTTGTGTGATATTTGGATAATCTAATATTGGTATATTGTTACCACGTGCCTTGGCTGTACTCTTCCCAAATTAGTTTCTCCAGCTCCTAAATTTCTTTTGCTTTTCTCTTTCCTGCCTGGTAACAGCATTTTGGTACCCAGAACTATGTGCTGTAATTCTCAGTGTATTCAAAACATTGCCAATTCCCCGGTGTCAAGTAGGAAGTGATTTTGTAATGAACACTGCTGAGTGAATTGGGGAGTAAATGGCCCTGGAATGGACCTAGATCCCTGGGGGTGCCCCTAGATTGGTGATAATCTGGGAGTCAGACAGATGGTTTGTGGGCAATTTGAATGTAACTGGATTCCCGCTGGAACCGAATTGGCTTCTTTGATAGGAAGGGCAAGATCCCAGACTGTCCAGCATAATTCCCTACAATAAAGCTACAAGTTTCTGGTAAATTGTTATTTGTGTAGGCAGATGTGAAATATACCAGGTTAAGCCATGGTCTAGGTCACATGGGGAATTAATTCAAACAAGAAAACAGTGCCTTGGATATGGAGCCCATTATAATCTCTGTTGTTAGGCAACCAGCTTGTCTGTGTAGTTTCATCAAAGATACCCAAAGAATTTCAGAAAAAAAGAGTCTCATTTGTCTGATCTCCAGTGGAAGGAAATTGACCAACACTTGATCATGCTTTGGGGTGGGGATCCAGCATGGTACTGGACGTATAAATGACGAGAGAGAACTATCCTAGTTGTTGAGGTGATTATTAGGTAGATTTTCCTAACTTAAAGCCTCAGTTGACCTCTTTGTAATTTCCAACCGTTGTTTCTAGTTTTCTCTCTGAGGCCAAATGGAAAAGTCTAATCCCTCTTCCATATGATAGTCCTTCAAATACTTAAACAGCTATCATGCCCACCTTGAGACTTCTTTCTGCCAGTCTAATTAATTAGTCAGTTGACAGATAAGCAGCTCTTGATACCAGACACAGATTACTAGACCTTGTTGACCAATATATTATTTCTCCTATGGAATGTAAAAACGATATTCATATAACATTCATTAATTCAACAAACATTTATGAAGCAACCACTCCATGCTAGGCATTGTACTAGGAATGAGAGAAATGCCTTCCTGAATTCAGGGAACAGAAAGTAGGTTAGTTTGATAGGAATGTAGAATGTATTAATGGAAATAATATGATATAAATCTGGAATGGTAGGTTGTGATCAGATTGTAAAGTGTTTTAAATGCCAAGAGGAGTTCACGTTTTATCCCAGAGGCAACGGGGAGCCATGGAAGAATCTTTAACAGGGGAATGACATGGTCAGTCCTGCGCTTGAGGAAGATTATTTGACAAGAGTGGAGGTTGAATTGGAAATGGGAGAGACTGGAAGTAGGAAACCAGTTTGGAGGCTATTGTAGTAGACCAAGTGAGAAGTAATTGGAAGCTGAACTGGAGTGATGCCTTTCTGAGTAGGGAAAAGGGGAAAGATGCAAGGTATGTTGTGGAAGTAGAACTAAGAAGACTTTATAGCTGATTGGACATGAGAGTGAGGGGAAGGAAAAATAGAAGATGACTGATAAGTTGTGAACCTAGATGATTGAAAGGATGGTAGTAGTGCTCTCAACAGAAGCAGGAAAATTTTGAGGGCCTTTTGGTTTAAGGAGGAAGATAATCAGCTCTATGTTGGATAATTTGAATTTGAGACGATGTGGGATATCCAGGGTGAGGTCATAGATATTCAATAACAATAGATTTAGAGCTAACAGGGACCTTAGAAGTCATGTAGAAGAACCCTGTTATTTTACAAGTGAGGAAACTGAGGCCCACATAGGTTTAGTGACTTGCCCATGGTCACACATGTAGTATAACCTGTGTGTCTGATCCAGGATTTGAACCCAAGGCCCTTTGACTTCAAATCCAGAACTCTTTCCACTGTTAGTGATGGAGGACTATAGCTTAGGAGCGAAATTAAGACTAGATATATAGATTTGGTAGTCATCTCCATAGAGAAGATAATTTATCTCATGGGAGTTGATGAGAGTACTAAGGGAAAGGATATAGATAGAGAAGCAATCTTTTTCATCATTGCAATCATTGTGCCTTCCTGCTTAATGGCGAACAATAACACAAAATCAAACACTGTGTAAATATTTTTGCCTCCATTACCTCAACTGATGCTTGTGCTTTCTGTGACTGATAGACTGCTAGCTAAGCGGAAACAACGCTCATTGTGCATGAATGACTATTTTACTTCTGAATATATGTGACTTCTCAAAGGGATGCCAGTGTGCCGTGGCACAGAATAAGCCAGATAGTGTTAACGTATTCTCATTTTACCAGTGAAGAAATTAGGTCAGCAAGTCAATCAACAAACACTTATGAAGTACCTACTATGTGCTAGGAGCTGTGCTAAGCACTGGGGATACCAAAAAAAGGGCAAAGGACAGTCTCTGTTCTCAAGGAGCTCCCATTAAAATTGAAGCTCTGTCCAGCTCACATTGCTAGTAAATGATGAATCTGCAGGTTGAGCTTAGATCCCTGATTCCAAGTACGGTTCTTTTGCATTTATACATTACTACCTCATTCTATTACATCACCTTTCCCTTATCTACCTATTTACTCTATTTGAATTTGCTTTCTAAGAGCAGATTGCAGGCAATGAGATTCTTTACAGCATAAGAAACATTGATTAATATAATAATGATAATATCAAGCATTTACATAGCACTTTAAAGTTTGCAAAACACTTTAGAAATATTTTATTTTATTCTCACCACTGCCTTGGGATATAGGTGCTATTATTATCCCCATTTTACAGATAAGGAAACTGAGGCACAGAGAACTTAAGTCAGTTGCTCAGAGTCACACAGCTAGTGTTTGAGGCCACATTTGAACACAGCTCTTCCGGACTCCTGGTCCAGTGTTCTATCTATTGCATAGCTTAGTTAAATATGACACATTAATCATCAAATATATACATATATTTTTTGAGACAATGCCACATAAAGATAGAAAGCTTGCTGGAAGTTGGGAATACCATCTGTGTGATTCTGGGCAAATCATTTAACCTCTCAGTGACTGTAAGTTGCAGAATAGTTGTTGATCTCTGATATTCGAGGGACTTTTCTCACTAGGAGCACCCTCCCAATAAAATCACAGATGAGAAAACAAACCCTTCAAAGACATTAAGATTCCCCTTTCAACACCAGTCAGATCAAACTGACGAGTATTTATTAAGCACCTCTTGCAGAATGACATAAGCAGAACCAAGAAAACAAAAGATACTTTCTTATGGAACATAGAGAAAAATCTACAAGAACAGTCATTCTTGGTGTACAAAGAACATTAAGTTTGAAGCCAGGATGCTTGAGTTCCTGGCTTGGTACAGCTGTGTCGTCCAATTGGGTGTCACAACTAAATGTCTCTGGGCCTCAATTCCTTCATCTGTAAAATGGCGAGAGATAATAAAATTTATATTTTCTACTCCCTAGGGCTTTTGCCAAGATCAAAATTGTGGTAGAGTGGAAAGAATGAGAGATTTAAAGTCAGAAGACCTGGGTTTAAATCCTAGCTCTGCCACTTACTAATTTGGTAGTCTTTACCTTATCTTTCCAAGCCCTTGTTTCCTTTTCTGTAAAATGAGGGGATTAGATTAGTTGACTTTAAGGGTCCTTCTTCCTCTAAATTAGGATGCAAAATGCTTGGAAA